CCCCAAAACCCCAAAACCCCAAAACCCCAAAACCCCTCAAACCTTCTTAAAGACTGAAAGTTTACTAATAGCAAAACAGCAGGTATTTCTAGTAAAAAGGTCATGAAAATAAGCCAGCCATGACCATGCTCTGAACCTAGTCCTTTAGGGTTGAGTAAAGTAGTTAGTATTAAATTAAAATTCATCTTTTGGGATAAAGGAGTGCTGATAAGTCCCTCTGAAGGGAAGGCTGTACTGAGGTGAGTGACCAATAGTAGCATATCTACCATTAAAAGACGTAGATAACTTATCTGTCCTCCCTCCTGTGCTAGTCTTGTAATTAGCTGGATTATTCTCTGGTGAAACATGCAGACTTGAAACCCTAACAGAAGGATTTCTTAAAATACCCAAAGTTTTCTTAGTTATTTTCTTCTTTCTCTTAATCCTGGTAGCCTGTAAGCTGTAAGGAGTATTACTCTGGTTAGGCTTCGTTATTACATTAGATTTCTTTAGCTTAATCTTTATCTTATTCTGTCATGAGTTATTCAGATCTAACCTTGAAGGAGCTGAGAAATCCTTCTGAGGAGTCATTTCCATCCTATTATTTTATAATCGACCTCTCGATAAGTCTAGTAGCCTCTTTATTAAGTTTATCGAAATCTCTCATCTTGGAAGACTTTCTACGGGAACTAGAAGATCTAAATATAACGTTAATATTTGTAGGAAATGAATAATTAGCTAATCCTGTTGAGTCAAAAAATTAGACTAGTAAAGCTAGAGGTCATCTTGGTTCTAAAATCCTATTCTTTGGGCCTTATCTAGTACAATACTAAACCTAATATGATGGCTTTCAGGAGGAGAATTAACAGATGATTTTGAAGCAATTATTTCTGAAAAATATACCTCATTTTGACCTTGTTCATCAATGTGGTATCTGTTGGAAACCTTCTAAGCCGCTTCCTTGACGAAGAACTTGAAGGAGAGATAAGTCTCTTCTTAATAGAAGTATTATTCATACTTGATCTGGAATTAGTAGAAAGATCGCTATATCCCCCGTTCTTATTAGTACTGTGACTCAGCTTGAGAATAGCTTCTCCTTTCTTCTTGCTTGATTCAATATAAATGGGGTTGTTCTTCCCATATTTTGTATCAATTTCTAAAAAATTAAACCAAAAGGCACCTTTCATAATGACATTAATAACGTTAATAGAACCAAGGTGGTCGGCCTTGATCTCTAAAAGATGAGCTTGCATCCAATAAATCTTGACAAGAGTATAGTACTATTTGATTAATGGCATTAGCTTACCTCGCTATCATAGTGAGCATTTGTCAGAAGCTCACTGGTGTTTTGGTTGCCGGCTCCTCCTAAGTACTGTGCCAAATTGTCATTTTGCATATAGCCGAAGTTAGGCAAAACTGATTTTGAAGTAGGTAAATCTATATTATCACTATTTCCTCCTGGTTTATAGAAACTCAGATTACAAAAGTAGTTAAATCAAAATTTACCTTGTGAGATTTTGGTACTTTTCATAGCAAGCAGCCGATCAAGATCATTCAAAATGTCCTAATAAATTAAAACTTAAATGTTACTCTCTGGTGCTGAAGAGCAAGGTTTAGATTTTCCATTGAGATCTCATATTTGCCCAGAACTAGGTAGGACTGAGCAATATTAAAATAAAGCAGTGCGAAATTAATCTTCGATTGCTCTTTATACCCCTTTGAAGCAATTCGAGCTATTATTTTACTTAATCAGCTCTCGAGGCCCTTGACGAATTGCTTACATGAATCTTTCCTAAAAAGTAATTAATTTCCTGCTGAGATATTAGGAAAAATGTTGTACCCTAATCGAGTCATGACGACCTGACAATTATTCATTTGGCTCATTTCCTTCATAAGTTCATTAAGTTTAGCGACATAATAGTCAAAAATATGGTTAGCAGACTCTGAATCATTGCCTTCTCTTTTTATACTATCTTGAACGTCTACATAAGTGAGCTTGAAACTTTAAAGTTCAAGGATTACCTCAATAAATGGACTCGATAATGCCTAATTTATCCAATAATTTAGTGCCTTCCCTATAGCCCAAATTAGTAAATCAAAATGTTCATGAATTCTCAGTACGAAAGCTCTCAACAAATTCAACGAAACTGGAAGCCAATGCTGCAATAACACGAATCGGTTAATGAATAGTTCCATGACTTCTTATTGTCAGTTTCTCGAAAGCTTTCGGCCTGATTTCTGGCTAAGAAAATTGGGGAGACCTCTTCTGAGAAATTCAGGCCAAAAACTGAACTTCAAGAATTGGGACATTATAAAATAAACTTACCCGATGGGAGCTATAGCTGCAGGCTTTTTATTTCATAACCTTGATCTTACTAACCCGCTTGGAGATGCTCTTGGAGCGCTTACTAGCCGGCTTGAAAGGCCCATACCTTCCCAAGAGAGTATTCTTCCTCTTCTTCGGTTTCAGCACAATCTTGTGTTTTGATTTAGAGCCAAATTTCTTATCTTTAGCCATACTCTGCATATTTAATATAAGTCAATATTATAATTTACTTGGGGTTTTGGGGTTTTGGGGTTTTGGGGTTTTGGGG